TTCTGGCAGAAAGGTCTTCATTCCAATACCTACTCCAACCTAGATTAACAGCTGAGAATTCCCTTTGTGTAACTGAGGAACCTGCTTAAATAGTTAACTAAGCTTCGTGAGCCATGTGATTTTGTAACAGGGCTTTATTCTGACCTTGCTGCAGTATAAATCAAATTATGTCCAGAACAACTAAAATTCTTTGCGTTTTTCCTGAATACAAACTAGAGGAGCCAGTGTCACATTAGGCTGTGGCACATGTAACAGAAGGACCTGTCAGGTGCCTATGAACAGTCCTCATGTGGCTGTCATAAACATTGACTGGCCACATTTTCAGAAAGATACTTTATATGGTAGGACGTATGACAGATCTGATGAGTGAATCTACAACCCTCAAATCCCCCTAACCCTACCTCACCCCAGCAAGTCTAAACTATGACTACAAGTTATCTTAGTTCCAATAAAGGAACCCTAAACACCCATTTGATAACTGGTTCTTCATGGTTATATGCTGCTTGTATTCAATTTTTGTTAACTAAATGGTTAACATCTATTATTTTGCACATACAGTTTAAAATTCCCACTGTTTTCTCTGTTTACCAGTTCCCAGTCATTGTCATTCCACTACCTGCTTCAATGGAAGAAGAAAATTCCTATGCCAGAGAGCACAAGGCTCCAAATTACCAGAGCATCCTTCATGTGCTTAGCCACATATTCAGTTCTAACACAACTGTTTTCAGCTATCCAAGAAATTCTGCTGTTCTATATGTAGAATATGAAATCTTCCTTGATTTTTTAAACAGATTACTTGCCCTTAGCCTCTGTCAAAAGACAGATTCATTCTGCATAGTGTGAGCTAAAGCAATTCAAATGCTTGAACAGCACAGAAAAATTACAATGCAAAAGCTTTCTCTGACTATAGCAGCAAAATGATTAGAAAAGTAAAAATTCTAGGAAAGCAATTTTTGCACCTGAGCTATCCCATTCTCGATCTGCTTGGATTCATTTGGTGCAATGGAACATGAAACTTCAGCCTTTCTTTTGGGCTTTAAGTTTTTTTCAGTTAACTTTTTCATACATCTTTTACTATGTCCTAAGCAAACACACCATGAAGGTACCTGAGGCTCACTGTTCTGCTCAGTGTCAGATCCTGTCCCGTGCTGACGTGTGCTGGTACACACCTCACACTGCAGATGTTTCCTCAGCTTCGCTGTTTATTACTGATGATGAAAAAGGGAGGCAAAATTATCTGCTGATGAGTGAGATATGTTTTCAGATATGGTTTTCAATTAACTGTTGTTTCAGTAAGCTCTTGCCTCTTTCATGGACATTACATTCTTTCCACAGTAACACTTCTATATGTGAAACAAAGTTTTATACTTAGTGAAATACTTGAGACATTCACTAAATTAATCACAACTAGAGATTATAGAAATTCTCTTTAAAATTGAGGGAATTTAATGATGAGACTGGAGCTTCACTGAGAATTAAGATAGCAGAATCAAATACTCAGTGCAGGAAACACCAAAGCCAGAGTTATCCATTTCACTTTGAATTTCTGTCTTGGTACATTATCCATCTGATATATGTTACCAATTAAAACTATGAGAAAACTCTTCAAAACAGTAGAAACTTTACTACATGGTCTAATTCATGGAACATGAGAAAGAGAGTAATACAATATCAATGTTCTAAACTTCTTTCTCCACCATATAATGTGCACCTTGTAACATTCACAAAGAATAAAAGATGCTCTTGAATATGTAAACTTTCATTTTACCTTTGTACTTCAAACTGCCAAGTTTTTAGCAGCCCTGAATATTAAGTATGATTAAACTTGCAGAAACACATCTTTCATGACATTGCCAACAAATAGAGACTTTCAAACTTTAATCTAGAAGATAAAATCTCATGGAAAGCTCGAGGAGAAACACAATAGCATTATGGAGCTACGTGAATGCAGATATCTGCTCTGCATTTCTTAGGAGACCAGGCTGTGGTCAACTATCCTCATCTTTGGTGTTACAGAACACAGATACTGCATCTAACTAAACTAGCACTTTCTCAAGACTCCAAAGTAGCAAATTTTCCCTGCCCAACAGGAACAAAATCTTAAAGGCCCTGATGTCACCAACTGCTGTTACCTATACCCCTAAAAAATTGAGCCACCTAAACACATGTGCATACAAGAAAGTGACAGTTAAGGGTCAAAAGAAGGACAAAGTGAAACTGCTGGGGTTTATCCTGCTCAATTAACCCACTGATCCAGAAGGGTCAGCCAGGCTTCCAGGAGTGACCAATGATAAAAATGAAACAACCCTAACTGAAATGAAGGAGAGAGCCTGTACTATCACAGGAGTATTACTTCCTAGTGTCAAAACTTCAGCTTACTTCTAAAATAAGTATCAGCAAAACTTTTTAGCCTTTACTTATCATGGACAGTATTGATTTGGAATTACTGTACTTACACTCCATCCTGAGTGACTCAAGGATATGTTTTACAGCTGCAAGGTGAACACAATTGCAGTGAATTACACACAAGATCTAACCTGTTCACCGCGCTCATATTATTTTTACTGATATGTTAACTCTAGTTAGATGATATATTCTTCATTAAAAGAAAAAACAATCTATACCTATAGGATGAATTACTTCTAAGGTTATTTCTGCTGGTCTCCTGATGACTGCTCTGCTATATAGATTAATGTTTAATGTGTAATTTGTCTTATCCATGTTACTTTGTACTGCTCACACATTGAGCTACTTGGATAAAACTTGCCCAGTGGTCTGCTCAGTCCACAATATAAGTAACAATAATTGATCCCAAATCTCTCCCATTACACAGCCTGACTATTAATGATTAGCCATTTATGGCATGCAGTTCCATGAGCTCTAGATGAGGCAAAGGAAACACCAAGAATGATATCCAACCTTTGCTTTTATGGTGGTTTTCTTCATAACACCGCTCAGGGAGTGGTCCGGTATCTCTCACAAGCTCCATGACCCTTCTCTCACAAGACTTTCTGCACTGTTGATTTATTTTGCTGCTTAATGTTGGCAAATTTTGCCTGACATGATGGTTATCAGATTAGGACTGAAGTGGCTTCACAGTTTCTTGTGCTGTTCTGCCTCTGACAAAACAGAGGTCTCATGTAGACAAGAAATCTTGAATAAGAAAACTGAATTCTAAAGTATGATATGTTGTACAAGGCAAAGAGAGAACTAGTGATCAGTGACTTTCACTGTACAGCTGCAGCTGGTGTGTGTTCTTGGAGGCCATACAGAGACATGGAGATCTCTAAAGGTTTTTGTGCTTACATCCCTAAGTCATTCTTAACATGAAACAGTCAGGGTTAGTGACTACTCCTGGTTTGCTTGATTTTTTCGGAAAAGGCAAGGAGGTGTTTGTACCTTCTGCTTCCAAGGTATTTTGCAGTAAAGAGTAAACAGATAACATGTGTAAGGAACCTTTGAAAAATAGGGTGAGCTGGGGTCTACTCCAAATCAAGTAGCTGTTGTAGTGACTAAAATAATCTTTTAGTTTCTTCTTTCCGGTTTAACATTAGAATTCTTCCCTATCACTCAATTTGCGAAACACGGTAGAGAATTTTGCTTTGTTACAAATAGTGAAATATTTAGGGTATTTTTCAGGAAATTAGCAGTTGTGTGTTAAATCTATTGAGCATTCTGAAAGCAGCATTAGGCAAGGGCCACATTTCCATCTCTTCTGCATCTGACTTTTTGGCACAGTGGTTGCCTGGCACATTTGGTAAGACCTCATTGCAGGCACAAAGGTAAGCAGCCCCAGAGCACAGTTACTTCTTTTCACCGTGCAGAGGATGGTTTAGTCCTCTTTTAGATGGGAGTTTAATGGTATTTAAATACAAATAATGTTTAGATGAAGACAGTTCTGTGCACACACAAACATTTTTAGCAGATGTTTTCAACATTGCTATCTTTGACAGTGACTTAGCCACCTAAGTCTTAAGTCTTTCTTTGGGCTCAGAACTGTTCAGCAGATCTGGACCTCATTATCCTGATTAAGAGCCTTCCAGGAGTCAAAACTGCATTATGACATTGAGGCACTTTCTTATACACAAACACACATGCTTCTGCCTTCTGTGACTTTGGTATTCTGCACTCTTATCACACTTGTACCCCCTGTAACAAGGAGCACAGAGGGATTAGTTGAGGCACCTGGTAGCTGGCCTTTTTTTTTTTCTGGTCTTCACAAACTTTCCCTTTCCTGCCATGACCAGAGCAAAAGCAAATGTGCATATCCTAGTGTTAGAGAAAAGTATTGGTTTTAAAACACATCATCTTTCTAAGAAAGGAAATCTATGAATTCTTTTATATAATTTCTCTTCTGTAGTGACTCCTAAGATAATTTCATTTTGTCCATCAGCTTCTTCACTGTAGGATATTGCAGTATTATGCTTTTGAACTAACAGGTAAGAACTCAGTACTCCTGAGTTTTTCCTGTTAATTGATATTTATCAGTCATAAGTTAGAAAATCTTGTCTCTCTGGCAAGCAAAAAAGAGCTCATAAGACAGAATCCTCCATGTTTACTTATTCGATTTCTGTAAGATTTGTTCCAGTAGGCTAATTAATGCTCTAATAAATATACCCAGGCAGTTTTTAAGCACATGGGGAATATGCCTGCTCCTGCAACCACTGCATTTCCTCTACTGCAAAACATCACTCAGTGAAGAGGTTCTGGAAGCGAACTTAGATGTCTTTTTGATTAACAAACATCCCAGTATAACAGAGCAAAGTCTTACTGAAGTTACTATTCATTCCTTGATAAAATTGCTTGGTGCTCCTGATTCCAATTAGCATTCCTTTGATGCAAAGGCACACTAAAAGCTTTAGGCACATCTTGGCAAACTGAGAAGGACAGAAGTATTTTCAGGAATAGCCACACAAAATGGTGAATAGATGTGGTGTGTGAAAGGCATCATATTATTAATATTCTTCTTTTTTGTCCGTTGTTACAGTTCTAATTCTTACCATGCACTTGCGATCATCCACCCCAGCCAAATCCTCCTCAAACTCCTTTCCTACATCAAATTCCATGATGTAGTTCCTAAAAGTGCTTAGCGTTTTAATGATCATGTGATCCCCGTTCTGAAGGATTTCTTTGTCAGGTTTTAGCAAGTTTGCTATTTTTCTTACAGCAACATTTACATCTGAAAAAGAAAAAGAATTAGTTTTATCCAGAAAAGTCTTCCATAAAATGACACTTGTGGCTTTTAGGGAGAACTAGAATGAACAAGGATAAATAAATGTACAGATCTATCAGGACAGCCTTCTCATCAGGACAAAGTCCAGAACCTAATTCTTTTAACTTAGATAAATTTTGATTTTCTCATTAGGTGGAATGTTAAAAAAATCCCATTTGTATTTGACAGTTGATAAAGCCTTCAATGTTTCTATACAAATACTAATATCATCAATCGAAACACACAAAATTGCATTAACTGCAGTACCGATTATTTATTGAACATAAAAATTTTACTCTTTTTCAAATTATGGTTGTTAGTTTGAAATCTACCACTTCTCTCTTCAATCTATGTAGTTTAATCTCTGTTAACCTAAGCTTCAAGATGGTAAAAAGTAGCAGCTGCTTGAGACAAAACAATTTTGCTTAAGAGCAATTCTCAAAGTGCATTCCGGAAAAAAATATCACTCGTGAAAATGATTTATGACTCTGCAAGAAAAAGTAGATTCAGGTAAAGACTAAGACAGGTGGCATTTACTGATCATTTATTAAAAAAGTACGAAGGGAACCTTACCCAGTGCTTTCAGATACTCCTCAAAATTGTCATTGCTGACCATTTTCCAGTACCCATTGAAATCTGCAGGCATCCCTGCTTCAGGGAATTGTCAGAATCAGAGCCTCAGCACAGAGTGTTGATTCTGCAGCACACAGCTCGCTGCCTTTCTTTGTGGCAAGTTTGAACTCTGGTTTCTTTTATCTCTCTTTTAGACCGTGTAGCTATGCAAGTCCTTCTAATCCGATTATTGTTGAAGTGCTGCCTTTAAATCCTTCCACAAGGCTGAACCTCAGAGATTTCCAATGACAGCAGGATGACTTGATCTAAACTGAATGAAATATTCACCTTTCATATAACTTCTGTAAAGGAGATTCATTTTAACTGTATTACTCTTCATTTTTATGCTGCTCCAAAAAAACCACAACACCCTTTTAAATAGCTTCAGTTTAGATATTAGCCAAAGCTATATAAGTGCTTATCTTGTGTAGTTTTTGAGGCAAATTCCTCTTTCTTGAGTATGTTTCTGCTGCTTTATGTCTCCTCTCCAGAAAATGATCATACAGACTCTCAGTGAAAGCAATTTGTGTCTGGCATTACTTTAACTTGTTCCACAAGCTCCTTAATTGTAGAGAAGCACCAATGGAAGCTGTTTGGCCAACTGAGGGCTCAAAAAGGGCATTGTAAAACTTGGAAACTTGTATTAGGAACCACTGGTTAGCTCTGTATACTCATAAATGCTACAACACTACTGACTGCAGGTTTCTAGTTACATTAAGGAGGTGTGAAACACAGAAGTAGCACTTCAGAGAGTTTCTACATTCTTTGAAGGTGTCTTCTATCAGAAATGAGATACACTGAATCAGCATAACATAGAAGTAAACAGATTTTTTTCTGGCTAACATGAGGCTTCAAATACTGAGCTTCTGAGATATTTCCATTTATTTTCCATTGTTGATTTTCCAATGGTACAACTGAAGCTCCTCTTGGATATAATATCTACTCCAGGGCTTTGGGAATTACTTACACTTATAGAAGAGTCTGGATCAGAGAAGCAAAGAAACACACTTTAAACATGGGGACGAGGACTGTCTGACATATGACAATCTGGAGGCTTAGAAGTGACAGAAGTGGTACATGTGTTCTTAAGGGTCTGCATGAAAGATTTATTTCTATCTCTTGGCCAAACTGTCAAAACTCAAGAAGTTATTCAGGGTCATATAAAGTCAAAGTTTAGCAGTAATATATATTTAAACATATACATTATGGTTCATTATATTTTGCTGCTTCAGAACAGTAAGGCATCTTTATGCTGAAACTGTCTGTAGGATTACAGAATCACAATTTAGGAAAGTACCGTTTGATCCTAAGTATTACTGAAGATGAATATTTATTGTGAAGATCTCCTTTCTTTTATTTTCGCAAGGAAGCTGTTCTTTATACATTTTAAGCTATGCAGCTGAGCATCCCAATTTGCACTACCACACAGATTCATGGATTTAAAACACCATAAGTTCAAGAAATTTTGAACCGATGTACTTTCCCTTCATTAATAAGAAACAACTTTCTCAAGAAATGTACATGAAAAAACTCCAGGTCTGTCCACCTCCCACACTACAGACATCAGTCATTCAGAGGGTTTACTGCTGTCTTATGCAACTTGAGAGGCTGAAGCAAGTCACCCTCATTCTTCCGCTCGCTCTCCTCTGTGTAGATGTTATGGTGTGCAATGTAGGATATAACAGAGTCTGGTATGAGGTATTTCACACTCAATCCTCTGCACAAGGCAGAGCGTATCTGTGTTGCGCTGATCTCATTCTGGATCCATTCTTTCACCAGAAAGATATTGTGCTGATATTTAGTTAACAGGTCTGATTCCTTGATATACTGAGACGGCTCAGACCCAGCACGGCTAACACAGACCAAACCAAACTTCTCCACTATTTCTTTGATGTGTTCTTCCTTCCAGAGATTGGGTGTCTTAAATGTCTGTAGAAAATCAGCTCCACAGAGCAGCTTTAATTCTGGCAGAGCTGAAAAGACAAAAGGAAGTAAGAGATGTCTATCATTGCTTAGTTTTCTACGAAGTTCATATTTAAAATTGATTTTAACTCATCACTTTTTTTCCCCATTTAAAATATCATTTACCCTTACTCCAGGTGTTTTATTTTTTCAAAAGGTTGCAAGAAAAATTCAGTTTAGATTTTATGTGTCTGGTTACAATTACTTTATCACTTACTTCATCATTACTCACAGCATATTGATTATTCTCTTTACCTACTCAAGCAAGCCAGAAGGGGGAAGAAGCAAATAAGGAGAATTATTTTAGCAGAAAGATTAAACTTGGTTGAACCTGGCTCTTCCCCCACACCCTGCTCTGCTATACTCAGACACTGTGGGACCAACTGCCAGCTAGCAAGGCCCTCTGTGTCACCACACAGAGCTTCCCATCCCACTCTGCTGCACTCAGGCACACAGACAGTGCCTGTCACACTAACCAGACAACTCCTAGAATTCTGCCTGGGTTTGTGCACCTATGTCATCCAGAACATGACAGACTGTATCTAGCCCAACAACCTTACTGGTACAATAAGTGAGTTAAATGACACACCAAATTTTATTTTCTCTTATGAAAAATTTCAATCAGCAGAATATTTTAGATATTTTGTGTCATGTGGCCATGACATTTTTTGCCCTAGTACAAAGAGATCTAAAGCCAAATTTGCAGTACCTTGAATAATGACCACGAATGGTACTTGACCAGTACAATTTTTTTCTTCTTTCCATTTCTTATTTGCTGTCCTTTGCCTAAGCCCCAGCACAGAACTCTCTTTCCTCAAACCTGTTCTGCAGCATGCATCATTATTCCATCTGAGTATTTTACAAATATTGACTAGGTACTTTCCCAGCCTTGTATTCATGTGAGAAGAAGGGGAAGCATGGGGTATTGCCTCCATTTGACACTTATTTGTGGTTGTAGATGGTTGGTACATCTGCAAGTCTTCTACAAACACCTTAAATGAGCTATTCGAAAACTAAGATCCATATGGGTGATGATGCACAAAAAGCATCAAACTTTTTTCCCCTCTACCAACTGTAAAGACACAACTCATCAACAGCCATGAACAACTTCAATGTATTATTCATATCCAGGAGATGCTGCAATACTACAGGAAAATGCAATGTATCAAAAATCTAGCAGCATCCTAGCAAGTCATTGGGCTAGGGAATATGATAAAATAGGAAACTGAAAACTGACATTGTTTCCAGACACTGCTATACTTGTACTGTCAATAGAAGCTTTTCTGGCCAGAAGCACAGTAAACATCAACTCATCAGCATCATTGGAGTGCTATTCATGCACTTTGTCCACTGTCTAATACTAGAATTAGAATTCTAAGTAATCCCTGTATTTTTGGTATTTTTTATTCATATATTCTACACTTTGCAAAACAAGCAGAGCCACAACATATATCGCTGACACAGCTAAAGAAATGCTTGTAAAGCCAAGAATTGATACCACTCCAAGCTTCCCTGTCTGTGTGGGAGTCATTACAAAACAACTGCACCAGCAGATATGTTGGCATTTGGCATAGCTTGGTTTTGGCAGCTCTAACCCTCAAAACTCACCAATTGCTATGTTCAGCTTTTCCATTGATTAGTCTAATCTGGCAAAGCTGTACAAGTTTTAATGCTAAACAAAGAGTCATGGTTAAAGTTATGAACCCACCTGAGTGCTGGTAAGAGAGGGAATCCCCTGAAGATGTTTCTGTGGGATGTTTGTTTCTCATTAATTCCTTCTTGGACTGGAGCAACCTGAGTGATTCATTATAATGGTGCCTACAGTCAAAAGAAAGGCTTCTGTGTGAGATAATCCTCTCAGAGATGCAACAAAGTGATTACCTGGCTCTTGCAGATTCCAGAACAGAGTCTGCTTTAATGCACTTTGGATTTGAATACAACGTGTTAAGAATTTGGCATATTCATTTTACCATGAGATTAGTATCAACGTAGTTAACATTGTGTGGAATTCACAAGCAATCTCCTTAATGGCATTCTGGTTTCTAAATCCTTTTGGAAACTCTACCATTACAGCAATTTTGGTAGCAACATTACATTTCAAGCATTGTGGAGGTTTTCACCTGGAACAGGATGAAATCACACTTCAATCACTAGATTTAATTTCTTGATTAAATATACAACCCCTCAAGATAATGGTTTTATAATGCGTGCTCAGTTTTCAGGAGGAGTTTTCAGGTGTGCTCAGTTTTCAGCTTCCTCTCCTCCCGTTCTCCACAAAAATATATTCCCTGTGTTTTCACCTTGTGGTTTTCCTTTTCATTTTACAAATCACAATTCTGAGAAACTAAAAATGCGCAATTCTCGTAAGATTTTTGACATCTGCTGTGCTTCTAATTTTATGGAGTTCAGATCCATGAAGGCAGGCAAGGATCCTTTTGTTAGTTTTTCCAGGCTTCTATTACTTTATTCTTTAGCCACATCTGATTGCTGGTGACCCATTGCAATACTGGTATTGCCACCTCCTGGTAGTGGTCTGTTCTTTCATCAGGAGGGCAAGTGCTGATATTAGATCCAAACACCTAAACTCACTTCCTTCCAAACCAGCATGGCCTTGCCTTTGTATAATAGTCCCTGATTTGCACCATCCTGAGCCATGCTTAAGCCTTAGGCACGAGCCAGTTCTTTCAGGAAACAAGCTCACATTTAGACGTGACAGGTACACACAGAAACAAGTCAGTGTCTGATCTCTAGTGTGTGCATATATAGCCCAAGTGGGCATCAGATCTTATATACCTGTAGCAAAGCAAAGATTATGAGCTGAGAGGCACAGTTCAAATTCAGTGTGTGCAAAGCCACACATGACCCTTTGAGTGTCTGTCTGAGGAATGAACTTAATAGCACTATTTAAAAGTACACTCTTCAAGTCATGCACATACTCTAGCCACAGTAAGAAGTAGCACATGTGTCAAAAACCTACACTCAAACAGACTCCAGTAATTTTTGATGCTCAGCCACTGGCTAAAGAAACTGCACCAACAAGAGGTGAGGGACATATGGTAGTAGAGAGTAGGTACCAGTAGCTTGGTCTGTGCCTTCTTACACTTTTATTTTTAATCCAGTCTTGCTGTAAACAGGCTGATGCTATGTATAGTCAAGTACACTAACTTGGTATAGTGGTCTGACATTCTTGGGCCACGATTCAAAAATAAGAACACTTGGCTCACTGCAGGACTAACATCACAAGCACTGCCAAATCTGAACTGCCCAAGGTCTGTTTAGCAGGAGTCTCAAGTACTGCAGCAGGAAGGGTTATGTTATTTTAAAGATACTCCCAAAAGTACAAACCAATCTGCCAGTTTATCAAGCATTTTCTGAACTGTGTATGAAGCTTTGAATAGCTACAGAACTACATCACAAGCACAACTCAACAAAAGCTGGGTAATAGAGATCTTTGCCAACGCTTAATTACTTCCTAGTACATCTGCAGGACCATCAAATCTACAACATGAGGAATAAATGTAGTTCTTTGGTTACTGACAATACAGTTTCCTTGTCTAAGAAGAATATTCACAGCAGCATGTAAGTGAAAAATAGCTCTATTATGTTCCCCACTCCTCCTCTCAAAAAAATAGTCTCCAAAATTTCCATACTCACTTAATAGCACTGCCCTAAGTGGGATTTGAGCTTTGCTGCTTAAAATTCTTTCATGTCACAACTATTTGAGAGTCTCTGCAAAATCCACAAATTTTGATGAAATATGACATTTTTATCACACTCAGTTAAAACAAGTACTGTAGGAAAAGGCCATTCATGTATCTCAGGACAAAATGTTCTACTGCAGTTAAGTGTACAACTCAAAATACTGATAAGAAGAGACATTTAGGTACAGTAATATTTTTTACCTTTGCCTTACAAGAGGAAAATCTCTGTCTAGTGGTACTGAAGTTTCCTTCCTGAGGAAGCCTGCAGAGGAGGCAGCAATTGGTTCTTGGTTCTTTGAGCAGGAAAGAATATATAGACTAACCTTGAAAACTTGTGAAGCTGTTCTCCACAAGAAACCATTGCCTGTTTATACTTGGTAAGGCTCTAGCCCTAAAGCCAGATCTTTATTTCTTTTTCCACCTGTGACACTTACCACACAATGCAAAGCACAAACACCTAGGTGTGCTATTTCCTCAGAATGCTGCTCCCCAGCCAGTGCTGACAGGGTTCAGCATTACATTCTGGCACTGGTTCAGCTCATTACTACAGGTCAACATTTGAGAAAAAAAAATTATTTAAGCTCATTTCTCTCCCTAACAAACAACCATCTTAACATTTTGTGAAATTACTCTTAAAACTAGAGGTTCACTTTCTAGGCAGATGGGAAGTTTGGCTGTTCATATCACATTGATATTAACTTCCCTGAGCAGAAATTTTATATATATATGTGTTTTCTTTACTGCACCTCTTATCCTAAAGGAAGAGGATGTATAATTTACAAACCAAGTCTTGCAAGCATTACTCGCTCCAGTTGGAGCTGTGCAAGATCAAAGCATTTGCAAGTAGGATCACATGATTTGTACGATTTGTGGCTGCTTCTCTGGAGGAAAATGGTTTCACAGAACTGAAGTTTAGGAGAAAATCCAGCAAATACTGCTGGACAACCTTTTGGTGATTTCTCACACTGGGATATACGGCTGTGATTAGAGAAAAGAACAGAGTTTTCTGCAAAGGCAGGGTAGCATTGTGCAGCCTTCCTTCTGCCCCAGTCCTCTCCTGCTGCCTGCAGGGAAGACACAAAAGGAGCAAGTGGATGCCTGTGTTCCCTCAGTGAAGCAAATAAAAGCAGAACTAAAAGGCTCCACGAGCTGTTTTGTAAGTATGCAGTGAATACTTAGGTATGGTTTTGTAAAGTAACAGGTCTGGTTTTTAAGTCTTTTCACATAAAGCCCTAAGAGCTTTCAGAGCAGCACAACCTGGAGCCTTAAGCTACACAAACAACTGTTTCCACCTAGAAAGTAACCTAGAAAATGTGGATAGAAACAAAGAGTCAGGGTCATCTCTTACAGCACACTTGCTGTAGACTTCCATGAAGTCTTTGAAGTTTAACTGTATTCGTTGACTTCTGTAGCACCTGTTTCCAAGAAGTGGTTAGCACAAGAAATGTGTGTTTGCATACCTTGCCCCACAATGCATTTATTATAGGGGAAAAGGCATCTTTCAAGGTCCTTGGATCAAGTTAACAGGTTTTGGACAAATTGTCCAATTTTTCCTTCCAGCACAAAACCGCAGCAAACTCAGATTTTGAAGAATACATCAGCAGTTATGGGCTTGGGTTTAACCTGCCATTAGAGTTAAGCAGAAAACTTTTCAAGGATGTGTGAATGGATAACCCTGGAGGCATAATAATGCTAACACAGCCAAACTGGAAAAGGGATGCTCCTGAAGAACAGAATTGTTTATAGACTCTCTTACTTCTGATTACCATCTCTATATTAGCTGTTTAAAGACTTAAAACAAGACAAATAACATGACAGCCAAGAACTTTCCTGCAGAACTCTTTCAGTGACTATAATTTTGCAGAGACTTTCCACATGCACTACTCAAATGGCACTAGTGCAGCTCTGTGGTTAATGCACAGGCTTGGGGAAAGCCTATCTGCTTTGCACTAGCAAAGGAAAGATTCCCAGTGGGGAACACTGACTACATAGCCTTTCTGAAGGAAAGTGATGTGCATTGTCATTGCTCACAGGTACAATATTTATTATTAAATATATATTTATCTCATAGCAAATGATGCCATAAACAGACTTGTTCTGCATTGCTTGGGTTTCAGGAGCAAGTTCTATGCATTGACCTGGGAGACTGAGAGATTTTTGGCAATCAGTAATTCCATAATGAGAGGAAAAATATAATGCAATTACCTTAATACTTTTACTGTCTCTGTCCATGTCTCCTGCTCACTCTCCCATGGATCAACTCGAATCCAGTCAGATGTCTCCAGGCCTAGTTTAGCCATTGCTATCCGGTGCCTGGCAGACACCAAGCCTTTCTTCCCATAGTTATCACTAACAGGAGACATGATGCCTTCAATCACCTCATATCTTCCTTTTGCAAAAAAAAAGAAAAAAAGAAAGTTACATCCTCTTCACAGAACCTTGGAAATTCAGTGTGGATCGGACTTTGGGAGGTCAGCTAGTCCAACCTCTTCTAAGGTTAACTTCAGTGGTTAACTTCAGAGTTGTAAGAGGCTATGAACAACTTGATTTGGGTATTGTTTTTAATACATGAACAGCATTTAATAAATTTAAGTGCAGTATTTTTGTTCTTCTGTGAAATGCTCACAATTACTATCAATTACTATCAACTTCTCATTTTGATAAATCATCAGGGAAATAAAGCACTCTATGAGCTGCAACCCTCAAGAAATGAAGAGAAGACGAGAGAAAAGGTGTTTCAACTTCATAGAAATGAAACAAATTTATTTCTAATGTAACACATTTTAATTAACTATGACAGTGAAGGGAAAATATCCTCTTCCTTTTTTCTAATTCAATAGTTTTTATGAAAAAACTTAAATACAGCGTATTAACTCTATTGCTTTGTAAGGAAAATGATACCCCTGGACTCAATTGCCAATACTGACACATGACAATTTAATATTCTAAAATTACAATCCGGTATTTTGATGTAATAGGGTAAAATTTTCAAAAGAACTTCACTGAGTTGGACATAAAAAATAGCACTGAGATTCAGTGAGATTTACATCCTGTTACAGGCAAAATGAGCAAGATAAAATTTTCCAGAAACATGCAAAGATGTATATGTAATTAAGTCCATCTCTTGATCTGAAACTGGAAATAATTTCACTTGATTTATGAACAACAATTATTCTCTGGTACTTTGATATTATACAGTGCTATAACAAATCGTGATTTAAAGGGAAAGAAATTACAGCTTGAATTCATTTCTCATTTAAAGGGAAAGAAACTACAGTTTGAATTCATTAATGTTGCCCATATTAAAAGGTTTTTCTTACACGGTAATTTTATTTTCTGCATTTCAGTTTCTTTTTTTTAAGTTTCTACAGATAAAAAAAGTTCCCTTATATTTTAAATTAATATAGTAAATCTAAAAATTAAACTTCTGTGAGATCATCTAACCAAGAATGATAAGGGGCTGCCATATCCTTGTGAGTTGTAAAGATTTCAGTCTCTAGTCCGGCCTGGAACTGCATAAATGGGATGAGATAAGAGCTTTTGATGCCATATCAGCTTGTTCCAAAGTAGAAATGAAACCAACTGGAAGAGAAAAATCAAGGCTGCTAACACTTCAGGTACTGAGAGTGAACTACAGTAACTGCTTGAGATGATTCACAGCCCAGTAACACAGCAAACATGATACACATGAGAGCATTCCACCTAAAAATACAAGCTTTAGCTGTCAAAATATAGGAAATACCTTTATTACTGGCTCTAAATAACTTGTGTCCTCTTAAATAATTTAAAAGCTCACCTGTTCAAATATGCCCCTCAATTTTGGCAGGCATACAATAGGAAATAATTAAATACTGTCACTTTGGTTTTTTTCTTAATGTCCACTGCAATTCCGTTCTCTGTCCCATAAATTATTACCACTAGCTTCAAACCTTTCTTGGTCCAGAATTAACTTCAAATTCTGTTTCTCTGGAATGCAATTTGTGTTCATCATGAAGTATGTTGTTATTATTGCTTGTCCTAAGTATGTGTAAGAATCCTCCAGGCCCTTAGGTGGCTTTGTTTATTAAAACATACCTATTCAAAGCAGCAAAAAATTTCCTCTTGCTATGCTCTTATATTCTCTAAGAACTGCTTAGGATAACTGGTTAGAAAACTAAATATAACAGAAGTAATGAAAAAAAGCTGTTCCTCAAATATGATAAAGTAGTATTAAGGCAAAAAGAAGGCAAGGCAGTATCTATGAAAATGACTATTTCCTCTAGAAAGCATGGACAGAGAATTACCATCTTGAGAGTAACAGTGTACATAATAAAATATTGTAGCTCTACTCATAGGACACCTTATTCTGAAACACTCTCATCCCAGCTGGCTTTTGCCACATAACACAACTGGGAAGCAAAGGTTTTCTCCAGTGATGGTACAAAACAGATGGCTATGATTGCAAAGTCAAACACAGGGATAACACAAATACTACTGCAAGTCAGGGATACCCACGCCTTATTCTGCTGGGGTTTAGAGCAAGACAACAAAGCTTGTGGAACAGAGAGATGCCTACACTTCTTCCACTTAGAAAAACTTCTTAAATGCAGAGAAATGTTAGAACCTAAACTGTATGCACTGATAACAGGACTCAGAAAATGGAGTTTGATGTAATAGAAGCATTTTCATTAGGGATGTGGTATGTCTTCAGATGGCTTAAGTTTCATGCTTTTGCTGCTTTGATTTGCACCTCTGCAAAGAGCACTCTATAGCTTTAATTCTTTTGTAATGCTAAGTCACACATGCATCTCCCTTTATGCACCTTGCAAGGGCAAAGCCTAATGCAACCATCCAAGTACACTTTGTTGAAGCAAGAACTGCTGTAAATCTTCTAATGAAAAGAAAAATAATCAAATATTTGTTTCCTTTTCATTTTTTGAGTTAATTTTAATTAACATCTGTCAATCTTTATTGTACATGTAACATCTACCTACTGCTGACCTGATCCTATTCCAGGCCTTTATCCATACTGCTATACATACTATCAAAATAGTAGCATTGAACTGGGGCCTTTGTGTTGTTTTCAAACCCAGTTTTCATTAGAGAGTAACTCATTATCCTTCACCTCCCCCTTGCATGTGTGTTGCCACAGAGAGAAGCATCTTGTCCTTCATACCCTCCCTCTCTCCCTTTTTTCTTACCAGGAAAGTTGGTGCTGTAAGTATCCTCCACTGGCAACACTTGGGAAACAAGATTATAAATATCTTACATAGATTGATTCTAGTACTATTTCTTTGGACTTCAGGGTCAAATGGGAAATATTGTCAAAGAGACATAAAAGCACCTGACATGAGGTATTAACAGACTGGAAAGGCATTTGCCACAGTCACTGCAAGTTTCAAGGAACAATTTTAAAACAAGGGGTTGAATCTCAGAAAATTTTAGCTATGTGTGAGGAAGTGTAAAGCATCAAATTCGCATGAGTAGACACAAGATCCAGATAAAGAGAACCATTAGACTCATTCAGGCACGCATAGCTATGTCTGTTGTATTTAAAAAGCAGCATGACAAGATCTGTTGGCTGATATGAACAGAGAAAGGATGAATTACTTGACATGTGGCAATGAAACTGCAGAAAGTGTTTAAAGTATCAGTAACTCAATAAAATTTCCTACTTAAAATAGGGATGTATGAAAAATAAGATTAGGCAGCATTTGAAACTGAAGTGATATGCAAAAAGCTGGCAGACAGAATAACTGGAGATGTCAGTCAGGATGCACATGAGGGATAATCATGTCATTCATAACAGTAAAACCTGACTCTAAAGTCACAGAATCATTAAGGTGGGAAAAGACCTCTCAGATCATCGAGTCCAACCCTTCACCACCATGTTCACCACTAAACCAAGTGCCCAAGTGCCACATCCACATGTCTTTTGAACACTTCCAGAGTTGGTGACTAGAGGGAACTCCAGCCAAGCTACTGCATAACTCATCATTTTGGCCCAGTTTGTGACAGAAGTACTGAAGTAGCACCAGAATGAAGCCATTCTCACAGCCCGGGAAACACGTCCCTCACCCTAGTTAACTCTTCACTCATGCTAGTCACCTTTTCAAGCATTCAGTGTGTATGTTAGCTCTGAAGTGCACTGTCCTCTCAGAGGGAATCACTGTGAATACAGCAGATTGCTACCTCAATTCAAACAAATGCTAGTTGTGTTCCAGCCATTGTTCTCCAGCCTCACTACCAGCTTCCAGGCTGCAGCTAGTGCTGCTTCTCAGCAAATAAGCTCCAATTTTCCTATCCTTGCCCGGGTAACTGCAGAAGTGGAAACAGGATTAAAATCTGAGAGAATGACTGACTAGTTTCTTGGGTAGGAATGGTTCTGCTATAAAACAGGCATCCAGAATCAGTCATGTTTATTGCATGTTGCCAACCCCTTCTGCTTGAGCAACTATCTTCACTGTCACAAGAAGGACCATATATGAGATTCTGACATCCATACATAAACCACATATATCTACACTTACATTTACTTCAGATAAAGCCACCACTGCTTGGGATGGGTAAAGCTTCCACAGGCTAACTGAGGATTCTTGCTTTGCAGACATCCTGGGTTAAGTGCAGTGACAACACTCTAGGCAACCCAGACACCTGAAAGCTTCTTTACTGCATAAAGCCCTTATACTAGTAAGTTACTGCACATTAAATTAAGAAATCAAAAGGCAAGTCACACTCTATCCAGACCTAAGCACTGACATGAGAGAGGTGCAATGTCACGGACAATTTTAATTTCAGCTTTTCAAAATTTCATTTTTAATGTGATTTTTACTAGACATCTTTAAGTAAACTGCTCTGACCCTGGAGCAGACCAGACAATGAACTGTGATTCAGACAGTTCAATCCTTCTTTCAAGGTAAAGAAACGTTACTGGACTATAACATATGACTGAAACAGAATTACCAACTGATCTCACATTACCTTTCTACTCCTTGCACACCTGCACAGCAGAATCAGTTATAAAATTACAGTGAGAAAAGCCAATTCTAATTACTTTTTATTTCCCTTATTTCCAGCCCTGTAGGAGCAGCAAAATAATTTTACAGTTATAGGACAGTAGAGACTTGCAGAGGCAGCCCTCAGAGCCAGCTCTGTGATTCTTCCTCCTCAAAATCAAAGTATTCTCACAGTATACAGCAAGTATGTAGTCACTGCTTTTCTTGCACAATGGTATCAGTGGGTTACCAGACTCTT